ACACCCAATTATCTGGGCACAGCAGACCTTCAGAGTAGGTGACTAGAGTGACTACCGTACTAATGGTAAACAAGATCCTGGACGAGCCCTCATTTTGTTACGTTCCCACAAGCCAAACTCAAAATGGTCACTCATAACAAAGGGATCTAACAAAGAAAATCACTGACAACCAAACAAACAAACAAACAGAAAAGGGGTTCAAAAGGGGTTCTGAAAGGGGTTCTGAAAGGGGTTCTGAAAGGGGTTCTGAAAGTGGCTGTCCTTTGAAAGTTGTCAGCCACTAGGAAGGGGTTCTAAAAGACACAACCCACAACAACTTTAGAATAGGGTGTAAAAATAAAATGGTGCAAAACAAACACCAAAAATCAGGCTTCTTTCAAACTTAAAAGGTTGAACTCGTACCTCAGTTGACGTAAGGTGTAGCTCTCCCCACATCTCTCAAGCTCAACTGGAGCACTGGGCCAGCCACTCTTAAATGTCATCGCCAAAAGATGTAATGTGCAAGAAATGCAGTCTATAATCTAGATCTTCACAATAAAATGTGGCCTGTAGGCGAAGTCCTCCCTGGGAGATAAATTCAGTTGCGTAAACTGAGGGGAACAGCCATCAACAGGAAGAAAAAAGGAATTGTTTGGTAGCCCATATTGGACTGGCCATCTATCCTAAACTGTAGTACAATAAAAATAATAGCTTTTATATTGCCATATAGTGATGCAATGCGCTATATCCCCACGAGGAAGCAGCCCCAGTCCATGTGACACTTCAATATGTTGTCCGTTGGTGTTGGTTCATTATCTGAATGTCCCGGACCATAGGAAATATAATAACAAAGTCCAATGTTACGCAATAATAGTGTTCAATTTGCCGTTTGACTTCAAAACTGTTGATTTGTACAATCACACACACAGAGATCCGTTGCGGACCAGTGCCGTGCACAGTGTTTATCAGCGGCGTGGGAGAGATACTGTTCTATAACATTACTCCTGCTCTCTCAGGTTGCTGATAAGGTAAGAAGTCATTGTTCACCTGATATCCATATAACATTCACAGGATTAGTTCCCATTCATGCACTGGTTAACTGCAGATAAACAGAAAGAGACCAGGGTTAAAATGTATTAATTTATTGAAGTTTTAAAAGATTCAGAGACTATAGAAAAGACAGACAACACCAATAGCTCAGCAAAACCTCAAAATAAACGATGCAAAAAGACAAGTCTAAACTACAATCCTCCACAAGCAGGGTCTGTAGCATGACTTTACTGTCCTGTCAATATAATTAAAATGGTTAAAAGTCCTCAAATGAAACCTTGAGGAACTCCAGTGAGATCATAGACCATCAGCAGTAATACATCAAGTCCCATCAGTAAGGTAACTATGGAACCAGTTACATGCTGCTTCACCCAACCCATTAGAGGAGTCTTTGCAATAATCAACAGTATCAAAGGCTTTAGCGAGATCAATAAAATGAACAGCACAAGACAGTTTCTTATCCATAGTTTTTACTATATCATTTAAAACCAGGGCTGCTGCAGAAATGGTGCCACGTGGATAGTGGAATAGATGTATATGCAAGATCGTTGTTGATCTTAACACTGGCCTCTAGTGGCAGTTCTGTGTCAAGTTACCAGAGCAAGAAAGGCAGCGCCGACCATCTTGGAAACGCTTGACAACTCTTGGCACATGGAAGAGAATCTGAAAATGTACAAGTATTGTAAGAGTTTAAAATTAAAATAATTTTGGCCGCTATTTTGTCTCAGACTTAACATGTAACTTGTCGATTAGATGGTCTTCTTGTCTTCTTCAGCCTTCAGATCACTGTTACTGTAACTAGCCAGCTACAGTAAAGTTTGTTAAAACTATTGGTCGCTAAATCCGGAGAAATGCAATTGTGTTCGTTGTCCGTAGCTTATGCCTGCTCACACCGTAACCCCACCGCCACCATAAAAAAATGGACATTAGCAAACCGCTCGCCCACATGGCCCCATACACGTCGTCTGTGGTTGTGAGGCCAGTTGGATGTACTGCCAAATTCTCTAAAATGCTTATGGTAGAGAAATGATCATTACATTTTCTGGCAACAGCTCTGGTGGACATTCCTGCAGACAGCATGCCAATTGCAATGCCTAAAATGTTCTGTTTTGTGCATTCCGTTGTGTCGTTCTTGCCATTTTGCGAACGTTAGCTAGCTAGCTCAAAATGTCTTGGGATCATACCAAGAAAAACATTTCAAAGTTGAATGGCAAGGTATCTGTTTTTTTTATTTTTTAATAAATTTGCAAGCATTTCTAAAAACCTGTGTTCACTTTGTCATTATGGGGTATTGTGTGTAGATTGATGAGGGGGAAAAATAATTTAATCAATTTTAGAATAAAGCTGTAACGTAACAAAGTGGAAAAAGTCAAGGGGTCTGAATACTTTCCGAATGCACTGTAGGTCCACTTACTACAGGTACATCCACATAAGCTCCATCTGTCTGCACTGTAGTTCTACCAATCTGTTTTACGGCCTCTGCATACGATACATCATGACTGATCCTATATCTCTTAGCCTCTCTCTGTACCTGGTATCCACCCAATGCTGCACTGTGTTCTCCCCCACAATTACAGCACTTAACCTTCACATTGCTTGTAACTCTTGATTGTTTTTTGTTTTTGTTTTGCACAGTTCTCTTCATTTTTCACATTTACCTGAATATTTTTGCATAATTAGTCTTGGTGTTTTTTATGTCTTGCCTTTTACAGCTCTCTTCATACATGTTTATGCCTAACGATAACTTCTCATTATTTATGAATATTTGTATTATACCTTGTATAGCTCTTTCTTTTCATATGGCACTTCATGAACTTATCTAAGCATTACGTAACACATCTTGCACTTGGCAAATTATGGCGTTAATAAAAACACTATGAAATTCCACTTTGTTGACATTTTGTTTGATACTTAACATTTTGAAATGAAGGATGAGGAGGCATGTCTAAGGGTTTCAGATGCTTTTTCAGTTTGATTCTGGGTTTTCAAGAATAGGAAACTATATATATATATATATATATGCAGTACCAGTCAAAAGTTTGGACACACCTACTCATTCCAGGGTTTTTCTTTATTTGTACTATTTTCTAGATTGTAGAATAATAGTGAAGACATTACAACTATGAAATAACACATGGAATCATGTAGTAACCAAGAAAGTGTTAAACTAATTCTGAACTGATTCTTCAATTAGCCACCCTTTGCCTTGATGACAGCTTTGCACACTCTTTGTTTAACACTGTTTTGGTTACTACATGATTCCATATGGTGTTATTTCATAGTTTTGATGTCTTCACTATTATTCTACAATGTACAAAAACTGTAAAAATAAAGAAAAACCCTTGAATGAATGTGTGTTTGGACACACCTACTCATTCAAGGGTTTTCTTTATTTTTACAGTTTTTTTTACATAGCAAATAGGTTTGAGGTTTACTAAAGATGGAATCCGCAGTAGGGAAAACACAGTTGTTTTTGTTGTAATATCGCAAACGGGCGTGGCAGTTTCACCATAAAGGATTTCAGCTTTAAGATCAAGACAATCACTCTCACCCAGTGCACTTGGGTTGTTTTTACAAATCATTACCCCCATATAACGTAACAGATAAGATGTTCTGTGTGATATGATATCATGGCTATTGTTTCCTGCATCTTTTTTTTCTGCAAAGTTCTTTGTTGATGGCAACGGGAGATACACGAACATTTTAGTCAAATGCACAGATAATCAGCAAATGCCATACTGATTATCAATCTAATTGTGCAAAACAGTGATGAATTTCACATGGTGGAAGCCCCCAAGTCAAGGAGGATGTCAAGTTGGGATTTGGCTTGGAAACATGGGTTTACTTAGAGGCACAAGTACCATGTACCATTATCCTGTGATGTAGGAAAGGAAAATGCTGCTAGACCACATCTATTGGTTTTTAACTTTCAGTTACAGCTGCTCAAATTGTCTTGGAAGTTACATCCCAACTCTCCCTGTTAACTGTAAGTGTCTCTGGATAAGAGCGTCTGCTAAATGACTCAAATGTAAATGTAAAAATACACTGTACATGGAGCTTACTCTTCCCAATCAATGTACTCTTGAATTAAGCGAAGACAGTTCTTAATTTAAAAAGCCTTTTATTCTCTTAGCATTTCCATTGAAGTTAACACATTACTGCATATAGGCCATCAGGACGTACTGTACGTGTTCTGTTGGTTGACAAGAAAAATCAAAAAAAATTGCATGGTTATAGTTCTTTTATTCAGAAATGTTTTTTTGTTGTTTAATTAAGTCAAACCAATATTCAAGTACACACTGAGTGTACAAAACATTAGGAGTGTGTCAAGAACTGCAATGCTGCTGTTTTTTTTTCACGCTCAACAGTTTCCCGTGTGTATCAAGAATGGTTCACCACCCAAAGAACATCCAGCCAACTTGACACAACTGTGGGAAGCATTGGAGTCAACATGGGCCAGCATCCCTGTGGAATGCTTCCGACAGCTTATAGTCCATGCCCTGACGAACTGAGGCTGTTCTGAGGGCAAAAGGGCTGCAACTCAATATTAGGGAGGTGTTCCTAATGTTTTGTCACATACATTCATTTTTATGTAGATACAGTATCTATCCCAACATTTTTTAAATATATATCCACCTCAGAGGTTTGTCACAAAATATTTTGTCATTTTATAGTCACAGTCTTAGTAAGAAGATTAAGTAAATCACTTTTTGATTCAGTGAAAATAAGTCAACTAAAGGTTGACAAAGTATCAAAAGGCTTTAACAATTTGTAAGCCTTCAGACACAGATTAAGTCTAGACCTTTATATTTATATTACCTTAATTTGTTTTGTAAACAGTGTTCTTATTGTGTTTTTAATTTACTTATTTCTTCCATTGACCCCCCCCCCCCTTATTTATATTCTTATTTGTTGTTGTAATGTCATTCTTCTGTTTACTGTGTGTCCTGTGCATATGATTGATTCATTAATTAAGTTTCTCCTGTCCAAGCTCTGAGTACGTCTTGCATTTTTTTTACTCTTGTTACAATCACCTTAAGTCTGTCTTGTTTCTCCTTAACTCTGCGTCGCTCTTCTGGGAGAACATTTTCTCCTCTCGCGATCTTCTCCAGAATCTCAGACTCGTATTTCATCTTCTTCAACCCAATGATCCGATCCTCGAAGCCTGGCTTGCATTCATCCTCCTCTGTGTGAATGAGTATCTCGATGTACTCCACAGTGGAGATAGAGCTTGGCTTCAGTGCAATATCATTTAACCTCTTAAGACAGTTGGAGGACAACTTGATCAAATATATCAGCTTTTCCTCGATCACATGGAACTCATCCTCAAGCTGCTCCAGCATCTGCTTGTTGGACATAAACTTGCCCTGTGACTTCATGAAGTTGTCCTTCAGTTCTTGAATCGTCTTTTTCTCTGTCTTAGTTTCATATGTCCATAAGGCTTTTTCCCTTTCGTGCACAGCCTCAGAGCAGTTTCCTGGACACATGACACACTTGCCATTGGCATCCATCACAGCACAAGTTTTGATGTTATCCTCATCTGTGAGATAGCAGCATGTGTGGCATGTGAATTGACATGTGTTACAGTTTGTAGCAAAACAATTTAATTTGGTTCTCACAGCCACTAGAACATCTACCTCTTTCTCAAAGTCTTGGTTCTGTTTCATGTTCTCATCATCATTCTCCAGACACTGTTTGAAGCTTTTGATCTCATTCAGCATTGACAGACCTGCAGTGATCTGAGGGGTTAGCCGGCTCATGGCCCTCTCCAGACGCTCACGTTCTTCCAGCACTTTCTTGGTTAGTGTCAGATCTTTGCATTCAATAGTTTCCAAGGTGTTGAAGAAAGCCTTCATCTGCTTAAAAGTTGACCTCCAGACAATCTTCTCTAGCCGTTCCCCATCATCATCATCTGAATCATTTTCATCAGAACTATCCCCTTTCTCCCTTTTTTGTGTGTACAAAGATGAATTGTTGAATTTGAAATGAGTTGGAAGTCCCTTCTTGTTCTTCTGACAGGGCAACTCTGCAGCTTGGATCGCCCCTAGCACTGGTATGTCTTTCCCATCAGCAAATGTCACAAGCATCAATATGTTTTCAGCAATGTCCTTTCCAAAGATTGACAGGATGGAGTCAAAAATGTACTTCTGATTTGCACTAAGACGGACGAGGGGTGCCTGAACTACGAAGCAGACTGCATCAATGTGATCAATCCCTAATGGGTTACACAAGAATTCCTTCACTTGCTCTGTGATCAATTTATCTTGTGCCATTCCTCTGGTGTCTCCAAACCCTGGTGTGTCAATGATGGTCAGTGAATAAGGAATCTGGAAGCCTGGCTGGTTGTAGAGCTCGTATGATGTCACAACTGAAGTCTGGCTTTCAGCCTGTGACTTGTTTGTCAGCTCATGGATGAGCTTAAAGCGGTAACAGTCTTCCCACTCTACCCCAAGAATGTAGTTTATCATGACATTGACCAGAGTTGTTTTTCCTGCACCTGTGGCCCCCAGAAGCAATATGACCTTGTTATTCACTTGCTCCACTTTCCTGCCAAACATGTAATGGTCAAAACTCAAATTTTGACCAAATTTCTTCCCCAGCATCAGCTTATGGATTGAGGGGTTTCCTTTCTGCAATTTCGCTGATTGTTTGAGGAATCGCTCACTTTTTGCTCCCGTCAATTTGCTTGGTTTTGGTGTGGGATCAGACTCCCCAATGGTGGTCAGTACCGTCTCAGGACTGGGTAGACTCTTCCCATTTTCACCACAGTTAGCAGACACTCTGACACTGTACGCAGTGTCAGCTTCCAGTCCCTTCAGTGTACACTCTCTGGTGGTGGTTTTGTTGGTGTGCCACATCTGATTGTTTGCAGCCTTTGCACACTCTCTGTATTCAACCACATAACCAATGACAGCAACATCTTTCCCCACAACAGTGGGAATGTCCCAGCTCACCTTGATACTGCCTAACTCTATGCTCTTCTCTGTGGGTGGTCCAGGAGGACTGCATGGGCGGGTCCTTACATAATCTGTCCATTCACTGGAGAAGCTCAGACCAGGTCTACACACCGCCCTGCAGCTGAAGCGATACTCTTTGTAGGGATCCAAATGCTTGACGGTGACCTGGTTAGTTGTAGCATCAGTGATGACCTCGGTCCACTCAGAGTCAGCCTGCACAGCCTGGTACAAAACCTGGTACGACTCCACAGATTTGACGCCAAGGTTGGGAGGTTTGATTTGCAAGTGGACACAGTCATGCTCCAGATTCTTGATGGTGGGGACACCTGGCTTTGATGGCAGCTCAAACTGTGGACTCAAAAGTGTCCCTCTCTCATAGACATGGATGGAAGATGCAGTGATGAGTTTGTCTGGAATTGAAGCGATGCAGAATGCAAGATTTTCTCTGCCTTTGTTTGATTCTTTAAAGTCTAGGAACAGATTTATGGTTTGCCTGGTTAGCGTGGTTACTTCCCCAGAATGAAACCACTTTTCTGCACCAGGTTTCTCAGCTATGTTGTGGTTGTAAGGCAACTGAGAACCAGCACTCTTTGATTCCTCCAACAAGTACTTCTCCAAGTCTCCCAGGTACTCCTCTTCCTCCTTCAAAGATGACAATGCAAAACAAACGACATAATCATTAGCTTGATCAAGCACTATTTTATCAAAGTCACCCTTGGATGACACAACTTGAAACTCTTTCATTATGTCAAGGTAGGAACTGACAACATTCATCTCTCTCTCTCTGTCGTCCAGGTACGTGCTCATAAGGTAATTCTGGAATGGAGAGCGTTCCTTGCTGTTAAGCATTGTTATCAGCTCTTCTTCCTCCATCCCTCCTCCTCGTATTGTGGGAAGGACCTTGCAGAGGCTTTTCTGGAACACCAGCTTGTACTCTGAGCACAAGTCCTTGAACTTGTTGAGCTTGGCTTTGATTTCAGGGAACTTGATAGCCATGTCTTCCTTCATCAGGTCCTGGCATTGTACATCAGTATTGTCCAGTCCGTCCAAGATTCGCTGTGCGCGACGCACCAGGCTAACACTGATCTGCCTGACTAGCTGGGCAGCTGCAGAGTCCAGGTTCTTGAGAGGATAGAGCCAGACGGTCATGGGCACAGCGTGTTCTCCGTTCTCCCCTAGCAGATGTGGCAGGCCAGCATACACCCTGATGGCATCTTCAAATGTGACAGGGTTGTTTTCCAGTGCAAAATCACCATGGAAAGTGCAGTTGAATTTATTGGCCTCCCTCTGCTCTTCCTCACTCATCTTCAACTTTGCCTGCCCTTCTATTGATATGAGAGGGATCTTTTTTATCATGGCCTGCAGGTTTCCTTGGATGTCCTGGTGGTTTTCTCCTGAGGAAACCTCTTGGTCAAAAACGAAAAAGGCCTGCGCTCCGTAGAGCAGGGCAGTCACCACATGGGTTGCAGAGCCCTCTTGTAAGACATTACAGTGTTTCACATTTCCTGCCCCCAGGTGGTCCATGGTCAGCTGCTCGAAGCGAGTGGTGGTACGGTACTGCAGAGAAACCCTAGACTGACGCTTTGAGGTCTTTTTGTCATGTAGGAATTCAGCAGAACCTTTTACACTGACTAAGCCGCATAGGAAGCTGGCTTCCAGAGATGCAGACACATTCAAAGCCTCCGACTTGTGTTCAGTTGAGTCTGTAGCAAGGACTTTGAATTCTGTGTTTGGTTGTGGAGAGACATTTCTTTGTTTCTGCAGCATCTCAGCATCCCAGAGTGTGATACCTTTGATGAAGGAGAAAAACAAGGACCAAAAATATATAATATGGGTAAAATCTATTTCTTACATGATAGTACTGTTATTCAGATTACCTTTGTGAACATATTGTCTCTGTGTTACTGTATGCAACAATGAGAGTTAAATATTCTTCTCAGTTTGCAGGGATTAAAGTTATTGCATGTTGTCCTTAAAGGTACAATCAGCAGTTCCTTATCTGATAAAATAAATAAATATATTAACTCAGCAGGAGACTCAACGGGGTCATACTCTCAAACTTTTGCTTAGACCCGAGGTTTATACCTGTGGTCTAAAATGGCTAGCTGCTAGCTTTTCTCATAGGCCAACCTGGAACAATTAGCCACTATGCTGAGGACGACCACCTGAGCAAAATTATATCCGTTAACAGAATAACGAATCAACCTATCAAAGACCTTATATGGTAGAGCCACCATCCAATCTCATTTGTTAAACAGGTCAAGTTGGCCACCAAAGGGAGATTCTAAAACCTCCAACTTCAAGGTTTATATATATTTTTATTTTTGTATATATATTTTTTATTTTTTTCTGGGGGTTTTAAAGTTTATATTGTTACCCGTGCCTCAGTTTAAAGTGCAGTGTGGCAAAATATAGTGCCTTCAGAAAGTATTCACACTTGACTTTTTCCACATTTTGTTGTGTTACAGCCTGAATTTAAAATTGATTAAAGATGTTGTCACTGTATACCCCATAATGTCAAAAGTGGAATTACGTTTTTAGAGATTTTTACAAATTAATAAAAAATGAAACGCTGACTGTCTTGAGTCAATAAGTATTATTATGGCAAGCCTAAATAAGTTCAGGAGTAAAAATGTGTGCAATAATAGTGTTTAACATGATAGTTGAATGACTACCTCATCTCTGTACCCCACACATACAATTATCTGTAAGGTCCCTCAGTCGAGCAGTGCATTTCAAACACAGATTCAACCACAAAGACCAGGGAGGTTTTCCAATGCCTCGCAAAGGGCATTGTAAAAAATGGCACCGGAGGAGATGGCTGCCGTTTTACGGGCTCCTGACCAATTGTGCTATTTTGTGTGTTTTTTGTGTGTTATTTGTAACTTATTATAAACTTAACTTGGATACATAATGTGTCACACTCTGGCTCTGGGACTCTGTATATTGAGCCAGGGTGTGTTCATTCATTGGGTGTATTTCTATGTTTGAGATAATGACTCCCAATCAGGGGCAACGAGTGTCAGCTGTGGGCTGGTTGTCTCTGATTGGGAGCCATATTTAATCTGTATGTTTTCCTTTGGGTGTTGTGGGTTTTTGTTCCTTATTCGGTCAGTGTAACCGTGGACTTCACGAGTCGTGTTTTGTTTGTATTTAGTACTTTAATTAAATAAAGTCATGTTCGTTTCACACGCTGCGCCTTGGTCTACTCTCCTTTACGACGATCGTGACAGAAAAACCCACCATGCAACGACCAAGCAGCGTGTCCAGGGGCAGCCCTTGGGGTGGACATGGGAGGAAGCGCCGGGAGAAGAGACGGTAGAGGCGCGCCGTAGAGAGGAGCTACGGCGTGATCAGGGTCGTCGTCGGACGGTCGTGAGGCAACCCCAGAAATTTTTTAGGGGGGGGCACACGGCATGGACGACGGGGCTGATGGAGGAGAAAAGGGGGCGGATCCAGAAGGCCACCAGGCCAGGGGTACACCGCCCTGTAAGTCCTGTGCGGATGCCTCACACAGAGTGTGTGAGGGTAGGCATTCAGCCAGGACGGGTGGTGGCCGCTCTTCACTCCAGGCCTCCTATCCGTCTCCACAGCCCGGTTCGGCCTGTCCCTGCTCCACGCACCAAGCCTACGGTGTGCGTCGCCAGCCCAGTCCGGCCTGTCCCTGCTCCACGCACCAAGCCTACGGTGTGCGTCGACAGCCCAGCCCGGCCTGTCCCTGCTCCACGCACCAAGCCTACGGGGTGCGTCGCCAGCCCAGCCCGGCCTGTCCCTGCTCCACGCACAAAGCCTACGGTGTGCGTCGCCAGCCCAGCCCGGCCTGTCCCTGCTCCACGCACAAAGTCTACGGTGTGCGTCGCCAGCCCAGCCCGGCCTGTCCCTGCTCAACGCACAAAGCCTACGGTGTGCGTCGCCAGCCCAGCCCGGCCTGTCCCTGCTCCACGCACAAAGCCTACGTGTGCGTCGCCAGCCCAGCCCGGCCTGTCCCTGCTCCACGCACAAAGTCTACGGTGTGCGTCGCCAGCCCGGTCCGGCCTGTTCCTGCCACCCGCACTAAGTCTACGGTGCGCGTCGCCAGCCCGACCCGGCCTGTTCCTGCCACTCGCACCAAACATACGGTGCGCGTCGCCAGCCCGGTCCGGCCTGTTCCTGCCACCCGCACTAAGTCTACGGTGCGCGTCGCCAGCCCGACCCGGCCTGTTCCTGCCACTCGCACCAAACATACGGTGCGCGTCGCCAGCCCGGTCCGGCCTGTTCCTGCCACCCGCACTAAGTCTACGGTGCGCGTCGCCAGCCCGACCCGGCCTGTTCCTGCCACTCGCACCAAACATACGGTGCGCGTCGCCAGCCCGGTCCGGTCTGTTCCTGCCACTCGCACTAAGCCAGGGGTGCGAGAAGTCAGCCTGATAAGGCCCGTTCCTCCTCCACGCACCAAGAAAGGGGTGCAAGTCGACAGACTGGACCAGGGGCACTATGGGGAGTGTATCGGAGGGTGGTGGTCAAGGCCGGAGCCAGAACCGCCGCCGAGGAGGTATGCCCGCCCAGCCCTCCCCTGTTTTGTTTAGTTGAGGCGCGGTCGCAGTCCGCGCCTTTAGGGGGGGGTACTGTCACACTCTGGCTCTGGGACTCTGTATATTGAGCCAGGGTGTGTTCATTCATTGGGTGTATTTCTATGTTTGAGATAATGACTCCCAATCAGGGGCAACGAGTGTCAGCTGTGGGCTGGTTGTCTCTGATTGGGAGCCATATTTAATCTGTATGTTTTCCTTTGGGTGTTGTGGGTTTTTGTTCCTTATTCGGTCAGTGTAACCGTGGACTTCACGAGTCGTGTTTTGTTTGTATTTAGTACTTTAATTAAATAAAGTCATGTTCGTTTCACACGCTGCGCCTTGGTCTACTCTCCTTTACGACGATCGTGACATAATGTTTCTGCCACCGTCTATTATGACCGAAAATAGCTTCTGGATATCAGGACAGCGATTACTCACCTGGTAAGGGACAAAGATTTTTTTTCTTGAACGAATCGGACGCAAAGGATTTTCTTCAGACACCAGACAATGCCCAAATCCCCGTCATTCGCATGAGAAGGAGACAGAGATATTGGGGACGTACAGTGAGGAAAAAAAGTATTTGATCCCCTGCTGATTTTTGTATGTTTGCCCACTGACAAAGACATGATCAGTCTATAATTTTAATGGTAGGTGTTACCTTTTTCCCTCACTGTAGGTCGGGGTGCCTTGTAAGGATCCGACGGTGAGTGTGTAATCTGCCTCTACCATCAGTCCTATTAGCCAATGTAAAATCATTGGATAACAAAATAGACAAACTAAGATCACGGATATCCTACCAATGGGACATTAAAAACTGTAATATCTTATGTTTCACCGAGTCGTGGCTGAACGATGACATCTCGAAGTTTTGCTCGCCTGAGGTAGAGTATATCATGATAAACTGTAGACCACACTATTTACCAAGAGAGTTTAAATCTATATTTTTTTTATAGCTGTCTATTTACCACCACAAACCGATGCTGGCACTAAGACTGCACTCAATGAAATGTACAAGGTCATAAGCAAACAGGAAAACGCTCATCCAGAGGGGACTTTAATGCAGGGAAACTTAAATCCGTTTACATTATTTCTACCAGCATGTTAAATGTGCGACCAGAGGGAAAAAAACTCTAGACCACCTTTACTCCACACACAGAGACGCATACAAAGCTCTCCCTCGCCCTCCATTTGGCAAATCTGACCATAACTCTATCCTCCTGATTCCTGCTTATAAGCAAAAACTAAAGCAGGAAGCACCAGTGACTCGGCCAATAAAAAAGTGGACAGATGACGCAGATGCTATGCTACAGGACTGTTTTGCTAGCACAGACTGGAATATGTTCTGGGATTCTTCCGATGGCATTGAGGAGTACACCACATCAGTCACTGGCTTCATCAATAAGTGCATCGATGATGTCGCCCCCACAGTGACTGTACGTACATACCCCAACCAGAAGCCATGGATTACAGGCAACATCCGCACTGAGCTAAAGGGTAGAGCTGCCGCTTTAAGGAGCGGGACTCTAACCCGGACGCTTATAAGAAATCCCGCTATGCCCTCCGACGAACCATCAAACAGGCAAAGAGTCAATACAGGACTAAGATTGAATCGTACTACACCGGCTCTGATGCTCGTCGGATGTGGCAGGGCTTGCAAACTATTTCAGACTACAAAGGGAAGCACAGCCGTGAGCTGCCCAGTGACATGAGCCTACCAGATGAGCTAAATTACTTCTATGCTCACTTCGAGGCAAGCAACACTGAAGAATGCATGAGAGCACCAGCTGTTCCGGATGACTATGTGATCAAGCATGCAATGACCAACTGGCAAGAGTCTTCACTGACATTTTCAACCTGTCCCTGACTGAGTCTGTAATACCAACATGTTTCAAGCAGACCACCATAGTCCCTGTGCCCAAGAACACTAAGGTAACCTGCCTAAATGACTACTGACCCATAGCACTCACATCTGTAGCCATGACGTGCTTTGAAAGTATCGTATCTGAAGATTATGCCTTTGTTAAATGTTTTTCATGACGAAATGGAATGTTGGTTATGTTAGTATCAAAAGGCAATGTTTAGTATAATGAAACATATAATAGACAGGAAGTGTATTGTAAACTGGCCAGAAGAGGGAGCCCATCTTGTTGCATTGGTTATAAATAGGGGTACACGAAGAAGATAGGACAGAGCAGACATTAGAATTGGAGGACACTGCTCTCCGGACCACGCGTGTCTGTAAACTCATGCTGAAGCTTGTGGTCTGAATAAACCTTATGATCAATGTTCAGTATGAGCAGACTCCTTTTGTTGACAGCAATAATTGCCACCATTCATCATATACGACAAAAGGCTGGTCATGGCTCACATCAACACCATTATCCCAGAAACCCTAGAACCACTCCAATTTGCATACTGCCCCAACAGATCCACAGAAGATGCAATCTCTATTGCACTCCACACTTCCCTTTCCCACCTGGACAAAAGGAACACCTACGTGAGAATGCTTTTCATTGACTACAGCTCAGAATTCAACACCATAGTGTCCTCAAAGCTCATCACTAAGCTAAGGACCCTGGGACTAAACTCCCTCTGCAACTGGATCCTGGACTTCCTGACTGGCCGCCCTCAGGTGGTAAGGGTAGGTAACAACACATTTGCCACACTGATCATCAACACGGGGGCCCCTCTGGGGTGCGTGCTCAGTCCCCTCCTGTACTCCCTGGTCACCCATGACTGCATGGCCATGCACGACTCCAACACCATCATTAAGTTTGCCGATGACACAACAGTGGTAGGCCTAATCACCCACAACGATGAGACAGCATATAGGGAGGAGGTCAGAGACCTGGCCATGTGGTGCCAGGATAACAACCTCTCCCTCAACGTGATCAAGACAAAGGAGATGATAGTGGACTACAGGAAAAAGAAGAGGACCGAGCACGCCCCCATTCTCATCGACGGGGCTGTAGTGGAGCAGGTTGAGAGCTTCAAGTTCCTTGGTGTCCACATCACCAACAAACTATCATGGTCCAAACACACCAAGACAGTCATGAAGAGGGCCGGTGGACTATTCCTGACGATGTTAGATTATACACTCTGGAAAGACAAGGAACTTGACTTAAGCACAATTCCCTGCAATGCCACATACACATCTCATGACATCCAGAACGAAATAATTGGGCTCATGAGTGAGGTAGTCACAGAGGAAATTGTAAAGGAAGTAGGTGATTCATGGTACACACTTAAAGTGGATGGGACTAAAGACCCAACCGGGTGCGAGAACATTTCAATTGTACTCCGTTATGTGGGCGAAAACAATCGTGTTTGTGAGCGGCTACTGTCAATGGCAACGAGTAAAGAATGTGATGCTTTATCGTTGACTAACTCGGTCCTGTCAGAGCTAACAAATCTTGGCCTTAGCACCGAGAAGATTCTCAGTCAATGTTAGATGGGACCAGTGTGATGTCTGGTAAACATGGGGGCATGCAAAGAGTAGTGCAGGACAAGCTGAATCGGGAAGTGCCGTATGAGCATTGCTTTAACCACCATCTGCATTTAGTCATAGTGCACGGTATGTCCTCTGAGGGTGCATTGGATGACTTTTTTAATGTGTGTAATTCCCTTTACAAGTTTCTCAGGAAACCAACTGTACAATTTACGGGAGAGAAACTGAAACGGCTGCTTGAGCAGCGATGGACTGGTCATCTGGCGAGTGAGTGTCATTATAAAATCTCTGGAAAGCATCATCCACCTGCTCAGAGAAATCGAGAGTACCCGCACCTACGGTACAGACTTGAGGCTGTGGGCCTATTGAAAGCTGTTTCCGAGCCGAGCTTCAGATTCATTGCCTCCATGGTCCACAAAGTAGTCCCGTGTAGCTCAGTTGGTAGAGCATGGCGCTTGTAACGCCAGGGTTGTGGGTTCGATTCCCATGGGGGGCCAGTATGAAAATAAAAATGTATGCACTCACTAACTGTAAGTCGCTCTGGATAAGAGCGTCTGCTAAATGACTAAAATGTAAATGTAACTCAGTTGCCGGAGTGGAAGAAAACCTCTCAGGGATTTCACCATGAGGCCAATGCTGACTTTAAAACAGTTACAGAGTTTAATGGCTGTGATAGGAGAAAACTGAGGCTGGATCAACAACATTGTAGTTACTCCACAATACTAGTAGTAGTTAATCTAAATGACATAGTGAAAAAAAGGAAGCCTCTTCCCTGTACAGAATGCAAATATTCCAAAACATGCATCCTGTTTGCGATAAGGCACTAAAGTAAAGCTTCAAAATAATGGGGCAAAGAAATGAACTTTATGTCCTGAACACAAAGTGTTATGTTTGGTGCAAATCCAACACATCACTGAGTCTCACTCTTCATATTTTCAAACATGTTGGTGGCTGCATTGTCACGCCCTGATCAGTTTCACCTGTCTTGTGCTTGTCTCCACCCCCCACCAGGTGTCTCCTGTGTATTTATACCAGTGTTTTCTGTTTGTCTGTTGCCAGTTCGTCTTGTCCCATCAAGTCTTACCAATGTGTTTTCCCATTTTCTAGTTTTTCTAGTTGCTGTTTTCTAGTCCTCCTGGTTCTCACTATTCTGCCTACCCTGAGGCTGCCTGTCGTTCTGTACCTTTTTGACTGGATAACTGACCTCTGCCTGCCCTTGACCTGTCGTTTGCCTGCCCCCTGTTTTGTAATAAACATCTGTGATTCAAACTGTCTGCATCTGGGTCTTATCCTGATTCCTGATATGCATCATGTTATGGTTATGCTTGTCATCGGCAAAGGAGTTTTCTAGGGTAAAAAGAAACAGAATAGAGCTAAGCACAGGCAAAATCCTAGAGGAAAACCTGTTTCAGTCTGCTTTCCAACAGACAGAGACAAATTCACCTTTCAGCAGGACAATAACATAAAACACAAGGTCAAATATACACTGGAGTTGCTTACCAAGATGACATTAAATGTTCCTGAGTGGCCTAGTTACAGTTTTGACTTAAATCGGCTTGAAAATATATCATAAGACTTGAAAATGACTGTCTAGCAATGATCAACAACCAACTTGACAGAGCTTAAATAATATTAAAATAATAATGTGCAAATATTGTACAATCCAGGTGTGCAAAGGTCTTAGAGACTCACCCATAAAGACTCACAGCTGTAAACTCTGATGTAATCGCTGCCAAAGGTGATTCTAACAAGTATTGACTCAGGGGGTTGAATACTTATGTAAATTAAATATTTATGTATTTCATTTTCAACAAATTTGAAAATATATCTTAATATATTTAAGTAACATGTTTTCACTTTGCCATTATGGGGTATTGTGTGTAGATGGTTGAAAAATAATAATATTGAATCCATTTTTAAGTCAGGCTGTAACAACATGTGGAATAAGTCAAGGGGTATGAATACTTTCTGAAGGCGCTGTATGATGCTTCCTTGATTAGGCTACTGACGTCAAAAAACTTTTAGGAGGATCAGTGTTGCGGAATAGGTGTTGCTAATGTTTTTTTACACTTAGTTTATATAAACTCAACTGGGCACAGTAAAAGCAGAGCTCAAACACGAGAACAACTGGCTACCAATCTGTTTTACACACAGATACGAACTGGGCAGAGAGATTCTATCGAAAACGATTGCGTAATGCCCTTTCCTTTATATTTATATATTATATAAATATAAATGTCTTATCAACTGAGCCTAACTTGATCACCTTGATCACCTTTGACCTTTGATCACATTGTTTGCTTTATTACCAGACAATAAAATGAGGCACTCGCCTGAACCTGATGATCTTGTGTTTGCGTGTGAATCCTGCAAGTAGCGTCGGTCAAGATTTGAGGGGTAATATCTGTCCTTTTCAAAATAATGCGAATACTTTCACTATAAAGGCTATTGTCTCTGCCGTCTTGCTAGCTAGAAACAGGAAGAGCGTGACGAACATAGCCTAGGGGGAATGATTTTCATTTTTTATTTGTGGCAACAACAAAAAAAGGGAAATAATATTGTAAAAGTAACTAGTTTACTTATTTGGAAAAAAAAGCAACTAAGTAACTGATTACTTAAATAGAAAAACCTACGCGTTAGGTTACTCGTTACCACAAGAACGTAATCTGAGTACTCTTATCCCCAACACTGATACGTTTATATTTGTAGCTACACAAACTAACCGCAAAGGCAGTTTGTTGGAAGGAATTTGTGAATTTGAAGCCCATGTGGGGCAAGTAAAAAAAAAGAACAATAACGCTCCTCTGCTGGCCCTCATGTCAAATAACGCATGTGACAAAGCAGATAATTATAAATGTGCATCCATGTAATATAATATGATTATTAGGCCATCTTAGAGTGTTATCTACAAGGTTGAAGAAAGACGTATTATTAAATCATAAATCATTCTTAATCTTCATTTTCAAGGTGTTGACTGCACTTCGGTTTTCAACACACTAACACAATAAATGTAATTCTAAATTTCAAAGGGGAAAAAACATACATCCCATGGGGGTTAGGAACCTGTGCCGCAATTTGCAAAGAATTTCAGGAACTCCGCACTCTACAATGTTAGCAGTCATGCTATTACTTGTGATCTAGGTAAGTTGAATAGCAGAACGTGCCAGTGGATTTCTGGTAAGGACACTTTTGTGAAAAAAGTGTTGGATCATGTCCAACTATGTCAACAATTTTAATTGGCTAATACAGAATCTGTTACCTGATATAATTATATGCTCAGCTGGTCGTCCTCAGCATAGTGGCTAATTCTGCCAGGCTGGACTATGAGAAAAGTGGTGTGAACTATTGTTTGAGTACACAGGAGACAAAGAGGTTACAGATTTCACTGAGAAAATTGTCTATGTAAACTACCTGGAATGAGAACGTCCATAGAAACTATTTTAAAATGGTGAAAGCCGTCAATGGCGTTCCCCATGCTAGAACAGTGTGCCCTCTATCCAACTCAATGGTGGAAACACTGTCAATGAATTTAAGATAATCAATATGCATTACCTCCAAACCAAATAGTAATAGTTTCCTGTACCTGGAATGAGGACATCTCTGCGACAGTCATACAGCATCCCCAGCTGGAAGGGTCGGCCCAGAGCGGCTAGCTCGATGGTCTCAGAGTCGGACATGACTCAAGTGTTCTGAAAACATATCAGAACTGGGGTTACTGCACAGCTGAAAAGGAGCTGATTTCTTTACTTTATTTGTTAGAACTAGGGCATATTACCCATATTATGTAGCGCACCAGAAAAAAATTGGATGGTAAAATATTTGAGTACAGAATGTTATTAAGACCTGCCTATACCTATTCTTAGAAACAGTTCAGGCTCCTGATCTGTGACCGGATCTTTTATTTCTGAAACTCCTTGAGTCTGCAAATTCTCACAGTATCTCGAGGGAACTTGGGACTTATGTTATTTTTCAAAACCTGGACCAGGTTAACTGCATGATTAAATGCCCCCCAATTTTTTTTTGCAATTAACAATGTCACTAAGCAAAACAAACAAGATAATGTGCTAGCTGGTTAAAATGTGTTTGTCCTTTTCTTCTACCAATTCAAAGTAATGCGAATACTTCCACAATAAAGACTATTGTCTCTGCCATTTCGCTAGCTATCTAGCTACTACCTACCAACACACAACGTTCATGCAGAAAGGAAGGAAGATGCATCTCCTTTTTTTTTGCAGATAAAAACTTCCCAGTTGTCATTGATGAATGATTATGTACTTCTTTGTGTCCTTATTTCTTACTCCGAAACTCAAACGGTTTTGAGGATTTATGTTATAACAACACCAATACTGGTTAAGAGTGTGTGCTGATGAGCACATTAAAGTGTCCTGTCAAATAAATGGTACAGAACACACAATAGCAGAATAGTAGAAAAGACCATGGTGCAAGCATTGTTGTTAGCGTTGAGCAAATGTCACTGTGTGATAGGTGCAAAATAAGTATAAAAGAGGTCAGCCAATAATATATTTTTGGAGTCACTCACATTCTTGTCTTCCTTCTCAGTCTGTAGTTGTCATTGAATGTGATGATCAGCATTGAGAAATGAATATCATATGCTTTCTTTTAACAAAACTGTCAAACTGTGGTCCCAGGAGGAGCTTCAACTGATTGGAGTGTCTGTTATCACATGACACTCACCCTTCAAATCAGTTTTGCACAGGTCAGAGTACACAATTGATGTACTAAGTGCAGCAAAACCACGTTTCAAAGAAGTTACTGTTTTTGTAGCTGCCTCAAGAAGAATTCAGATGGTTGAAACGTCAATATCTTTTATACTATCCTATACCATGTTGACTGGAAGACCGAGAGTTTTGCCTTTTTCCTCTCATATACACTGAACAAAAATATAAACGCAACATGTAAAGTGTTGGTCCCATGTTTCATGAGCTGAAATACAATATCCCAGAAATGTTCCATAGGCACAAAAAGTGGCTTTCTCTCAAATGTTGTGTACACATTGGTTTACATCCCTGTTAGTGAGCATTTCTCCTTTGCCAAGATAATCCATCCACCTGACAGGTGTGGCATATCAAGAAGCTGATTAAACAGCATGATCATTACACAGGTGCACCTTGTGCTGGGGACAATACAATACCACTCTAAAATGTGCCATTTTGTCACACAACACAATGCCACAGATGTCTCAAGTTTTGAGGGAGTGTGTAATTGGCATGCTGAGTGCAGGAATGTCCACCAGAGCTGTTGCCAGAGAATTTAATGTTCATTTCTCTACCACAAGTCATTTTAGAGAATTTGCCAGTACATCCAACCGGCATCTCAACCGCAGACCACGTGTATGGCGTTGTGTGGGCGAGCGGTTTGCTGATGTCAACGTTGTGAACAGATGGCCCCATGGTGGCGGTGGGGTTATGGTATGGGCAGGCATAAGCTACGGATAACTAACACAATTGCATTTTAACAATGGCAATTTGAATGCACAGAAATACCATGATGAGATCCTGACGAACATTGTGAGGCCCATTTTTTAAGGTATCTGTGACCAACAGATGCATATCTGTATTCCCAGTCATGTGAAATCCATAGATTAGGGCCTAATGAATTTATTTAAATTGACTGATTTCCTTATATGAACTGTAACTCAGTAAAATCTTTGAAATTGTTGCATGTTGCGTTTTCTTCTCCAGTATAATGAATTAAAATTACCTTTAAAATAGATTTCAATTAATTGATCTAATATTAAATGGATGAAAAGCATGACAATGTTTACTATCTGAAAATGAATTTATTTTAATGTATTTTAATATTTATGTTTAAACAAAATGACTATACCCTCTTTAATAAGACACTGAAGAAAACATAATTGCAGCAAACATAGTTTCTACAGCCACCATGGTTATTATCTGACCCTGCTGATCATCTATGAACGTTTGAACATCTTGAATAACGATCTGGCCTTAATGACCATGTACTGTTATAATCTCCACCCGGTACAGCCAGAAGAGGACTGGCCACCCCTCAGAGCCTGGTTCCTCTCTAGAGTTCTTCTTAGGTTCCTGCCTTCTAGGGAGTTTTTCGTAGCCACTGTGCTTCTGCCTCTGCATTGCTTGCTCTTTGGAGTTTTAGACTGGGTATCTGTAAAGCACTTTGTGACAACTGCTGCTGTAAAAAGGGCTTTATTAAATAAATGTGATTGTCACTGTTATTCATGTAATATTGTTGAGATGAGTAAAATGCAAATGTGAAAGGATTAACTGGAATTTCCTGAATATTGGTATTTGAGTTGTTGGGACAGTATACTTAATATTTGTTCAACATGTATTTCAATGTGTGACAGCCAAACAATTATGCTAGTGAAGAAATAATTTGAAATGCAGAAATTCAAAAATTTATAAGAGGTTTATAATGAAATTACTGACATGTTAAATATATGTTACACTGTGTTCTTGAAAATGAATAAACTTCTACTTTTAAGTTACACATTTTTAAACAGACAACTAAATGTAATGCATTTAAATATTTTCCCTTGTCTGTTATGTAGGAATTTGCTCAGAGACTGTCAAAATCATTTTTTGTATTAAATGTATTACGGATGTAGATAATTATACCCAATGAAACTGTACTAATTAACATTTGATCATACTCCCTTGAATAATCATACTGCAGGCCAATTGCAATTCATTGTAAAATAATTTAAATCGTAAATAGAGAAGAGACAAAAACGTGTACCTTTGGCAAAACAAGATTACTCTTACATTTTTATGATTTGACTCATGATTTGTAAGTGAACTCAAACTACAGCCCCATTAATTAATTTACAAGTTCAGTACAGTTAACATTATCCCTTCTCAACCATAGACACATTTTCTACAGTTGTATCATCTCCTTCTTTTGCTTCTTTCAGTTCTTTATGTATCCGGGTCCTTTCGTCTTCTTCTTTCATTCTTTCTGATTCAAGATATATTTTTCTCTGCCTCGCCAGCTCCTCTACTTGTTGTTTGGCCATCCGTTGTTCTGTTTCCATCCTCTCCTGGAGCTTAAGGTATTCCTGCTGAACTCTAATCCTTTCTGCATCTGCTGCCGCTGCCAGTTGTCGGGATTCATGGTCCTGTACGTAGTGTGTTTTTGGCTGCCCTTGACCCATGCTTTATTTTCTTGACGGTTTTATAGGTCTGACTTAACTGCAACTGATTCTTCGAGATGAGCTATCAAATTTTAAAAAATAGAATAGGAATGTTTTATTTTAAAAAGTGAGAATATTAAACTCTATTCAATACGCTTGTGAACGTAAATTGACTGTAACAGGACAATTCATTTGGCATATTTAGATTATTTTGAATAATAACAAATGTATAACAAAGTATTCATTTATAGGTATTTTAGCAAATAGCATGTATGAAATCAAACAAAAAGTGAAAGGCCCTGTGTAGGGAATAAAGAACTGTGTATAGCCTACCTTAATGTCCTCTTTTATAAATTAACTGGATGTTGGCCCCTGATGTGTAAGTCAATGTTGCGGATATGTGGTTAGAAACACACCAAGAAGCAAGGGGAGCTGCCCAGTGGTGTAAATTTGACAGATGTAAAGAGAAGACAATGGTTGCACACGCATGCGCAAACACACACATAAAAGTAAATGCTGACTGAGATGATACCTTGTCTTCTGATTTTACATAAACCTTATTGCAGTCAGTTATTTTTATTGCGACTCATTCATTATAGTACACAGTGAAAGTATTTTTATCAGATTTTATCTCTCAACTTTTATGATTACAGTGCCCATACACTGGTAGTTGAAAGTGACTATAAACTTTATCACATTGTCCTTACTGCAGAGTGAGCTCTTTTGATTGCCGTTGATGTACTTGCAGGAACACAATACTTTGTACTGTAAAGCATAACTATAAACTTGGTGTAATAACCATAGCTAGCTTTTATGATTCTTGATAAACGATCCTCTACCCGGCACAGCCAGAAGAGGACGGGCCACCTCTCAGAGCTTGGTTCCTCTCTAGGTTTCTTCCTAGATTCCTTCCTTCTAGGAAGTTTTTCCTAGCCAACTGCTTCTGCCTCTGCATTGCTTGCTCTTTGGGGTTTTAAGCTGGGTTTCTTCAAGGCACTTTGTGACAACTGCTGATGTAAAAAGGGCTTTAAAAATAAATGTTGATTGATTAATGATTACAATGTGCTGGTACTGTAGGTGTTAATGAATGTCCTAGCATGACTATTCCTCAGCAATGAATGTCCTAGCATGACTATTCCTCAGTAATGAATGTCCTAGCATGATTATTCCTCAGTAATGAATGTCCTAGCATGACTATTCCTCAGTAATGAATGTCCTAGCATGACTATTCCTCAGTAATGAATGTCCTAGCATGACTATTGTTTCTCATTATTCCATCTGCTGTTAGAAATTGCGTAATTCAAATCTGGTATTGGAATAAGAGAAAACATAATCAAGAGATATTCAATCCAAGCTAAATTTACTATATGCAAAATGTATGCATGATAAGTATGTTGGTTCGTATACGGGCTCACTGAAATACCACGTAGGGCAGACAGAGAACTGATCCATTGTTCTGAGTTCTTCTTCAAATACTCTGACAGAGATAGTTCCCGCTCCCTGCTGGCCAATCAGAGTAGAGACTGAGCGTGGTTTAGA